GGAAAACTGATTCAGTTTTATGGAATGAAGTGTTACCTGATTTTAAAATTTAAAATGAAGCCAGTTAGGATTGTTAAATTACACTGTCATAATTCTGTTCTTTGATAGCAGAAATAAATAAACCTTTTTTTTAAAAAATTAATAAATAACTTATATCCACCTCACCAGTGACAACTTTTCAATGGATTTTAAGAAAAACTATCTATCAAATATTTTAAAAATCCATTTATTGAACTATTTTGTGAAAAAAAAATGTGATTTTCATTTTGTAATGAAGAAATCACCACAGTATATTTGTTATTATCCCCCTTATTTACAATTATGATGAAGATTGAAGTCTTGAGCATTGAACTGCTTTCTGAAATAAACCAAATGTAAGCTTTTGAAAGTAAACATTGGGAAAATATATTTTTGAAAAATCTGAAGGGTCGTATATACATACGTAAGAAAAAATACAATCCCAATCTGAAGACATTTTGCAATTAAAATTGCATTTCTTCATCCTTTTTTAATACTGACAAACTAAGTTATAATTCAGAAAGAAAAATTTTTTTCACAATATACATACCAAGTATCATTATGTATTATTTGAACATCCATTTTATTATGTTTTTTAATAACTTACTACACACAACTTAAATTTGTTCATACTAATAAAGTTACGCCATCATATTCTTTGTGTGCTTGATTTGTCTCATTTCTAATTTTCTTAGGTCACAAAAACACTTTGAGATGAACTCTGAAAATTTATTAATGACAAGTCCCAGCATTGAAATTCCTTGGTCAAACAGGATGAGGAATATTAGTTATCAATGCTCAACTATATTCCTGAAAGTTTCAACATTTTCCAACTAGAACCAGCAGGGTAGAAACTACCTCTTTGCAAAGCATACTCAAAGCAGATTTGTCACCTGCCAGCTCTTCCCTATGAGAAATTTCAGATTTATTAGGTCGAGTAGGAGGAATGGACGGATCATAACAGATACTTTGATTTCTAACGGTGAATGAATTTCAAGAGTTAAGTTAGGCTCGTTCCAGGAATGGAAAAAGCACGACTTCTTTCCACTCTGGGAAAAGTAAAGTAGGGATTGGAGCTTTCCAGGCATGTATTCAGTCATTATTATATAGAAATGCAAAAAAGCCATTTGGATTTTGTTTGTTCAAAGTATGCTTTGTTAAAACTACAGATTGCCTTTCCAATAAGTTGGTGTTACAATAATATGTGTGAATGATTACTGAACAATTCAATACCTGATTACAAAGAAAGAAACATACAGCTGTAAAAAAAAAGTAAAAATATTAAAGAAACTACACAACTAAATAATACAATCAACAATTTACACTGAATAGAAATATATGGAACATTTCATCCACCAACAAGTAAATATACTTTCTTAACAACAATAAAATTCAAAGAGATAAAACCACATTATAGTGTCAATACTTTGAAGTATTCACTTCAAAGGGATTAAAGAACATTCATATTCTCTGTAATATAATCAAATTGATATACTTCTAAGAAGTTTAGTGTGTGTGATAGTCTTGAACACTTTCTCTTCTGCAAATGGAACTTTCAGTAGCAAATCAGCTGTCAAAGATGCTGATTATAATTATGTCTTTATGATAACTTKCCATTGCTTAACATGACCTATCAGAAAATTGTTTTGAGTTATATAAAGAAGTCAAACCAACAACTAAAAAATAAATGTTTTTTAAAAAATAAAATATTATCTCCATTACCCTTCTCTCATTTCTGTTTTTATATGAATTAAATAAGAAAACATGAAAGCACATCACCTAATAATTAGCACTTAATAGATAATCACTAAATAGCAGTTCATTTAATCATGTGTGTGTGTGTGTGTGTGTGTGTGTGTGTGTGTGTGTACCTCCTAAAGATTTAGGTGCTTAAGTCCTGCATTTTCATTAAATTCTCTTAGTGACTGCAAAGACTGTTACGTCAGTCCCTATAGAATTAACTTTTCTACCAACTAAACAGGGCAAGCTGATGTCATGGCTGAAAAGCTTCCATGTGCATAAAGCCTATATAATTCAGGTAGAAAACACCAGCACTACAGCTGCCAATCCCAGCTGCCTTCTTTCTCTATGATTCCCTTTCAGTAATTTAAGGTAGAATATTCCATCTAAAAACAACAATACAAAACTTGGCAGCTAACAAGTGTGCTAAAGTGGAAGGAAGATGCTCCAGCAACACTGGTTTTCTGAATAACTAGTTAAGGTTCTGTTTTAGAAGCTCCCTGATAAACTAGCATGGCCTCCAGAAATGGGTGATTATGTCTTTTAAATCCTATACCACATCCTCAACTGGAAACCAATCCTATAACATCTTCCTGCAGAGCAACATGCCTCTATGTATTGAAAGCAAAATATGAGACCATAGGAACAAAGGTGTGATTCTTTTCATCTCTGAAAAATCCTGAAATCGTACCTCTCACCAGGAAATATCACCCAGTATATCTGCTGTGACTTGTCACCAGCTGTGAACAAGACCCAAAGGAACTTCAAGAGAGCTCACCTTCCTTATGGAAAAATCAAGGTAAATGAGGTTATTTGACTTGTCCAACTCCATACAGATTATTATTTCCACTGGAAGATGATACTCTTGGTATTGACACTACAGGACTAACAATTCAGTCATTTTCAGTACTGAAAGCATCAGAAACCACTCAGGGTGAGTTTTATAAGCATTTTAGTTCTATTCTAGTTTTGCTCTTAATAATTTCCCCCCTTCTCCTGAAATGTATGTAGTTTGTGCACCATATTCTTGACATAAACTAACACCAAATTGCTGCACCAAATGGAGCAGCAAACATAGCTCCATTTTTCAAAGTGTTTTTTTCCTGTGGTTCCATAAAAAATAGGAAAAAAAATGCTGATGGTAGAAAAAGTTTTAAATGCTTACCCATCTCCTATGAGGAGGAGATAGAAGTCTTTATTGCACACTTGGTTCTCAGTCCACACACACACATTTCTACCTGTACAGCAGAAATGTCTCATGTTGAATTTAAAATACACCTCTGGCTCCATTCCTGGTCAGGATTCTCCTTTTCAATTTTGAAACCAGGAAAACACGTAAATCTTTTAACACTTAAAATAGTTTGGGGTTTGTTTGTTTGTTTGTTTTTGTTGTCGTTGTTGTTGTTGTTTGGAGAAAAAGCTTTAAATTCATGCTCTAAGAAAAGTTTCTAAATAGTAAAATTAATCCATAACTGTATTAAGATGTTACAGTGAGTATTAATCAAAGCATCAGACCCATTTAATGTTTAAGTGTCAATTGAAAGACTTCTCCTGCTCCAAAACAAAAACATATCACAGATCTACCTTGCTAGCTCCTTGCTTTGACACTATCATTTTGTCCTCTGATATAAACAGCGAAAGGAGCCRTTAACTGCAGGAGACCTGCCTGGTGAGATACAGGAAATACAGAGAGCTAGGAGCAGAAAAGAAGCTTTCTCTAGCCTTTTTTCTATGAGCGATGTGAGTTTATTGATTTGTCTAGCAGAGAGCCTGATCTCAAGGGCTGATACAAAGCACCTTATTGATCTGTGATAGGCAGGAGGTAGCATAAGAGGGAGGGGCCCAAGGAACCACAAGAAACAGTCTCCAAGGGTGAGACACTCCTGGAAGGCTGTGCACCAAGGCAGGATGATGGGGCAAAACTCCCATAGATCACTCCCTCAAGCGGACTTGGGACACCTTGGAGAGGAAGACGGTCACTAAGACATTCTACTTAACTCCCCAGTTCTACCAACCACCACAGAATTTCAGATCCAAGTAGAGATAGARTGGATAAAGCCTGGACCAGGAGTCAGGAGACCTAAGTTTAAGACCCACATCCAGTTGCCTTGCCTATCTGTGCCTCATTTTCCCTATTTGTAAAGGAAAAAAATATTAAAAATTATGGAAACTCTCAAGTCCCTTTAAGAACTAAATATTCTATGACTCTGTATAACACATATATGTTATTTTAAAAAATAGTGACACTAGGGTGGTACATAGGCTAATCTAAAAGAAAATAACAAGTTTTGATTTACTTGTGAACCAGAAATTACTTACTTAGGGTAGAGATACCTTAATATCTCCTCCAGTCAAAATCGATCACTTAAATCTAAGCCCTGATATCTAAGCACAGACAACAGAATCAGAATTTGAAAAAAGCTAGAGATAATCTAGTCAAGACAATGAGGCTAGTGGGCCTGGACCTTGACCTCCAGTTTAAGAAGGAGGTACCTACTTTAGCGGAGGGCTCTAGGACTAGCAAGCCTCCTTACGCTCTCTCCGGATTTTCCAAGATTTCCAGAGTTTGATTCGCCCTCTTCTAAATAATTGTTYAAAAGCATCACAATCACATTGTCAGTTATCCAGTTGCTTCATGAAATGTTGCTGCCCTCTGAAAGCCTCACCTCAGAAAGTACAGTGTCTGACATCAGGGGAGCAGGTATGTTGGGTTAGTGAAAAGTGTAGTCCAGAAATTATGTCTGAGGTCAGATTTATGGGACCTTGAACAAACTACTTATTTATGGTAAGGAGAACCCTACTATCTCCTCTTGCAAAAATCCATAACCTAAATCTAAGTACTAAGATCTTGCTATAATAAGGGAAGAATAGCATGATTGGTCTTTCCATCTCCCTCTTCAAGGTGGATTTATGAGTCTTAGTGAATCGAGATTCTCCACTGTATTATTATTCCATAAGTGAGTGTTCAGCACCTACTATGCATTCAGCATGATTTAAGGAACACAGGGTTAGAGGTGTAACTCAGTGGTAGAGCTAGTGCTTAGCRTGTGCAAGCTAGAATCAAATCTCCAGCACCAAAAAAAAAATAAATTATTTAATTAAATTAAATTAAAACAGAAAGAAGGTAGGAAAGGAGGGAGGGAAAGAGAAACACAAAACAATTAACTATAAATTCTAGATATGAAGTGTTATACTGACATTTTTATTTTTTTACTTCTCCGCAGGAGTATTCAACAAAGAGAATGGAAGAGGCTTTCCTACTCAATCAAACTTCTTTAGTGACATATTTTCGGCTTAGAGGTTTATCTGTAAATCAGAAGGTGCAGATGGCTATGTTTTCCATATTTCTCGTTTTCTATGTCCTGACTCTGCTTGGGAACATCCTCATTGTCATCACTATCATCTATGACCGCCGGCTCCATACCCCCATGTATTTCTTCCTCAGCAATCTGTCCTTTATCGATGTCTGCCACTCCACTGTCACTGTGCCCAGGATGCTGAGAGACACCTGGTCAGAGGAGAAGCTCATCTCCTTTGATGCCTGTGTGACCCAGATGTTCTTCCTGCACCTCTTCGCCTGCACAGAGATCTTCCTCCTCACCGTCATGGCCTATGATCGTTATGTGGCCATCTGTAAACCCTTGCAGTACATGACAGTGATGAATTGGAAGGTATGTGTGCTGCTGGCTGTGGCCCTCTGGGCAGGAGGAACCATCCACTCCATATCCCTGACCTCCCTCACCATCAAGCTGCCCTACTGTGGTCCTGATGAGATTGACAACTTCTTCTGTGACGTGCCGCAGGTGATCAAATTGGCCTGCACTGACACCCACATCATTGAGATCCTCATTGTCTCCAACAGTGGGCTGATCTCCGTGGTCTGTTTTGTGGTCCTTGTGGTGTCCTATGCGGTCATCCTGGTGAGTCTGCGGCAGCAGATCTCYGAGGGCAGGCGGAAGGCCCTGTCCACCTGTGCAGCCCACCTCACCGTGGTCACACTGTTCCTGGGACACTGCATCTTCATCTATTCCCGCCCATCCACCAGCCTCCCAGAGGACAAAGTGGTGTCTGTGTTTTTCACTGCTGTCACCCCTCTGCTAAACCCCATCATCTACACCCTTAGGAATGAAGACATGAAGAATGCCTTGAACAAGATAATGGGGAGGAAGGAGAAGAAAGAAAAATAATGAAAAGGTCTAAGCCCTCAAAATGCCTGGTGCTCCAAGTCAAAGAAATGTCTGACAAAGAATGCATTATATACCATATTTATCAGACTGTAGGACTTGTAAAATTATCCTCTGGCCCCATATCTAACAATCAGCAATAGSGGTGATTAGTAATACCTTCCATTTCCTGTAACTTGTTCTAGGCACTGTGCATTTAATTCTCACAACAACCCTGTGAGGTAGGTATTGTGTTGATTTTCACATGACAAAACTAAAGCTCAAAGAGATCAAATAGACTGCCCAAAGTCACCCAGCTAGGAAATACTGACTAGTTTTTACTGAGCACCTAATTCATGCTAGGTACTAGGTTTATACTCACAAATAAAACATACATATAGTCCCTCCTTCGTGGAGTTTAGGGTGTGATGAAAATAGAAAATGAGAATGTTTCCTAGCTTAGTGGCTTTGAATTTGGGTTTAAAGACAGGATTTAAACCCCAGCGTATCAACACCAACTCAAGCTGTCTTCAATACATCATGCTGACTGTCCCTGCTTTTCTGTTACAGTGATAACCAAGATCTAAGCAAACCTTCAGATTTCTGGAAAGCCCTTACCTACATCTTCACTTAAATGCTTGCCTAAAAGCTTAGCAAAAACTGGTGAATCAGACAAAGTAAGCCTGCRCATGACTTTGGTGACAAAGAAGACTTTTAACCATTGAAATTACTGACACTCTCAAGAAGTTTTCAGTGAAACCTGCCATCAGAGCAATGAAATGTTTTATTTATTCATTTGGCAAATATTTACCAAGCACCTAATTTGTGCTAGGTACTAGGTTTATAGTAACAAACAAAACATACATTTAGTCTCTCCATCCTATATCTAGTGAAAAGAAAAAATGAAAATATCAATAAACGCATGGTAATTACAGACATGACAAATTCTGTATAAGAATRGAGCAGGAGGTATGGAAGAGACTAGAATGTTTTTAGACTGATTGGACAAGGAAGGCCTCTCTGGGTTAATTTAAGCTGAAATAAGAAAAATGTAAAAGAACCAACCATGAGGAAAGAGAGGTGATGGACATTCCAACCAGAGGAAATGGCAGGTACAAAGACCAATGCTGGGAAAGCCCATGGCTTGTGCAGATGATGTAAGCAGAGAAATGGCAGGATGTGATCTACATCCTTTTTTAATTTTTTAGTTGTAGATGGGCATAATACCTTTATTTTTTATGTTTACGTGGTTCCGGGGATAGAACCCATTGCCTCATGCATGCTAGGCAAGTGCTATACCACTGAGCCACAACCCCAGCCGTGATTTACATCTTAATAAAATCATTTTATTCATTATGTAGAGAAGTCATTCAACTGAGCATTTATTACTACAACCTTAATAATCACCCAAAATTGCTCCAAGAGTTAGAAAAAAATACCAACTTGAATGAGACATGTTCTATAAGCCAACACTTTAAATTTAGCTGTGGAGACCCACACTCAGAGTGACATGTGCTGAGTAGGTAGGGGACACAAGGAATATGAAGAAGGAATTGCAAGCAGTAGTGTCTCATATACATCCAATTTACAAAAGACCGTAGCATGTTGGACACCAACCTTTCCTTCTGACTCTGAGAAAGTCACTCTGAAATTCAGCTGGGATTTCCTAGCCCACCAGTGAGGATATAATCCATAAACCTCTGGACCAAAAAAAAAAAAAGGCCTCCACTTTTTTATTTGTTTTAATTAGTTATACATGACAGTAGAATGCACTTTGGAACATCATACATAAATGGAGTATAATTTCTTATTCTTCTGATTGTACATSATGTAGAATCCCACAAACACTTAACAGAAGAAAAAATACAACTGATCAACAAACATATGAAAAAATGTACAACATCTCTAGCAATTAGAGAAATGCAAATCAAAACTGCTATAAGATTTCATCTTACTCCAGTCAGAATAGCAATCATCAAGAATACAGGCAACAGGGCTGGGGTTGTGGCTCAGCGGTAGAGCGGTTGCCTAGCACATATGAGGCTCTGGGTTTGATCCTCAGCACCACATAAAAATAAATAAATAAAGGTATTGTGTCCAACTAYAACTAAAAAATAAATATTAAAAMAAAGAATACAAGCAACAATAAATTCTGGAGAGAATAGGGGGAAAGGTATACTCATACATTGCTGGTGGGCCTGCAAATTGGTGCAACCGTTATGAAAAGCAGTATGGAGATTCCTCAGAAAACTTAGAATGGAACCACCATGTGACCCAGCTATCCCACTCCTCTGTTTATACCCAAAGGACTTAAAACCAGCATACTACAGTGACCAAGACTCCACTTTTAATGATACTTTTGCCATAATATGTGTTAAGGAAGAAATTCAAGCTACACAAACCATTTCAGTTATCCAGGGGCCTGGAGGGGTTTTCAGATAACACAGATTAACACATCTAGTGGGTAATAGAGCAGTCTCTTTCCCAAAGATAACTCTCTGGATAGTAAAAAACTGTTCATTGGTACTGGTTGGTGGAATAACTAAACCAAATTAGAGAATTATGGAATTTGTATGAAATAAATGCTTTCTTATAGGAAGGTCAGGCAATAAGGAGAAATAGCTTTCTGAAGAACCCATATAGAACGGCTCTMTGCAGGAATCAGCCACACAGAGGAACATATACTACATGATAGACAAGACAGTGCTTCCTGACACTCATTAAGGCTGTATCTGGTAACACTATRACAGAATGATCCTGTTGGCTTATTTTTTCATAGCAAGCAAAATTTATAATACTATCCATTTTCAATCACAATAATTTTCACAACTCTCTGAGGAGGTAAAACTAAACATTTATTCTCCATTTTTCAGAAAATAGTTTAAACTCAGGGATAATATTAAAATGTATTGAGTCACTCATTACATAAACAGAAAATAAAGAATAAAATGAAAATGTCTTGGCTTTGTAGTTGACTTACTTAAAGGAGAAAGRGAGGCCATTATTTATCAATATAAAAATTTGTTCAGCAACTTTTTATTCAAYAGTTAAATTTCTCAGACTGCAACAATCTTCTGGTTATAGACTATAGTAACCAGTGTTTCCATAATACAAATAAACAAAGCACTGAGAATTTATTTATGCATGAAAGATAATAATGTATATGGATACTTTTGCATATAGAAGTCCAGATGGCAAAGTATAATTAGATCATTTTTCTCAGTTTTCAACTTGTGTAAGGTAATAATATCTGAGCTTTATTGCATAATAGATAAATAAAACTAATGTGAGTTTATGTGAGAATCGTAGGGGGTTGACAATATTCTACACTTGTTTGTCAATTTGCAAGTAGTGATATTTAAATATTTCATGATCTTCTCCTGATTTGCTTTGAAAATTGCTACTGGCTCTTTTTCCACTTGAGTACTTTTTTCGTTTCAATCTTTCATTGACTTTTAGTTAAGGTTAATGAGTCAGTCACTCTGTATTGTGTATGCCTATGATGGACGGATGTTCACATTATCTGGAGTCCTGATCTCCATAATAAGCACCATTTATACAAGTGAACAGAATAATTATAAAATAATGACYTGTTATAGTTTGGATATTAAGTGTCCCCCAAATGATTCATGTGTGCTGAAGGCTTGGTTTCCCCAGTGCGACAATGTTCAGGGGTAAGGATTTGSAAAAGAGATTAGATTTTGAGGTCTCTGACCACATCAATGGATTAAACCATTGAGAGATTTATAGTTGAATGGACTATTGGGAGGTGGTAGAAATCGTAGGAAGTAAAACCTAGATATAGAGTATGTCCTTGGGAGCACCTTCTTAGTGACCATAGCTTGTCCCTAGTCCTTCCTCTCTGTCTCTCCCTCTGCTTCCTGGATGCCACAGGATGAACAGTTTTCCTCTGCCATCCCCTTCTGCCATCATATTCTCCCCCACCTCAAAACAATGGAGCCAGCTGACCATGGACTGAAACCATGAGACAAAATAAATCTTTCKTCCTTTAAGTTGTTTGTGTCGGACATTTTGTCACAGCAATGAAAAGCTGACTGACACAACCAAAGGCCTCCATTCATTCCAAATGCCTTTCAGAATAAGCTAAGGAATATCAGTTATAGTTTTAGTATCAGTATACTCTACTTCATTGCATCAGTTTCAATAAAGTTGATATTATAACTACTTTGTATAGTAGCCCTCTGACCATTTATAGAGGCCTCATTTATATTTCCTCCTACTTCCCTCARTCACAGTATGTCGTCCTCCTACCTAAGAAATTTTTCATGGAACCCTCTTCTGATGAATGCCCATTCTACAATWAACTGAGATCCTTCATCCCAATGAGTGAAACTAGTAAATTTAGGAAATCAATACTTCTGAAATCATATAACTCCATGCCCTACTCTTAACCATTTCCACCTGTATTTCTATTCTAAGTAAACTTTAGAATATTCCTGGAAATTTTACACAAAATATCTTATAGGCTTTTTATGATAAGTACTATACACCAAATTTATAAGTTTATTGAAGAAGGTCCATTACATTAACAATGTTTTTATGCCTATGCAAAAAAACATAAACATATTTCCGTCTCTTCAAGTTTCTTTAGCATAGCTTTGTAGTTTTTTCATAGAAGCACATATGCTTCCTGTATTGGGGGGGGGGGAGATCTCTACTGAGTTTCTATTGCTGCTATAACAAATAACCACAAACTTAGTAACTTAAAGCAAAAAAAAATATCATCTTACAGTTCTGTAGCACATGTGTTCAATACAAAACTTCACTGGGCTAAAATCAAGTTGTCAACAGAGCTGCATTACTTTTGGAAGGCGCAAGGGAAAAACCATTTTCTTTTCTTTGCTGCTTCTAGTGGCCACTTGCATTCCTGGTCCAGTGGCTCCCTTCCTTCATCTTCAAAGTCTACAATGTGGAAATGTCTCCACCCTGTCCATAGCCAAGTCCCCCTCTGATTCTCTTATTCTGCTTCCTTCTCCCATCTTTAAGAGTCCTTGTGATGAAAG